CCGTCATCTCATTCACTTGTTCTGTCAAGCTCTATGAACACAAATCTTTTCAGGATTTATCATTCACACACAGTGGGATTTCTTTGAACCAGTCATCCTGGACTCCTCTAATAGTCAGTGTAATCTGTGGAGATTCAGGGAGCAGCAGGCAGGGAAGTGAAAAATGCCATTTCTTCTGTAGCACCTAAGCCAGCCCAGGTGGCTGAAGGCCTCCAGTGTCTGTTTCTCACCAGTGGCTTTAAAGATATTCCTGGAACTCTGGTTTACATGGAGATATCCACCCTGGAAACACCTGAGAGGAGATGGAGTATTGATGATGATGACAATGACAATTCCAGGGATCCAAGGGCAGCCACAGCATCTCTGGACAACCCACGCCAGGCTCTCCCAGGGAAGAATTTCTTCTTTATATTCCATCTAACCCTGCCCTCTGGACATGGRAAAGCATTTCCCCTTGTCCTGTGATTCCATGCCTTTGTCCAAAGTCCCTCTCCAGCTCTCTTGGAGCCTACTAGAACTGGCTCTAAGATCTCCCCTTTTCTAAGCCTCTTCTCCAGGCTGTTAAATCCCAAATCTTCCAGCTTTTCCTCAAAGGGGAAGTTTTTTTATTCCTCTAATCATCTTCTGGACCTGTTGTGGTCTCTCTCCAGCTCTGCTGGAATTCAGCTCCAGGGCCATATTGAAGTGAACCAGCAGATTTATAACTTCTGACAATGTTTGCATGAGACCACCTCCCCTCAAGCTGTCCACAGCCAACTCACAGCACTCTGCTTTTTCACAAATTGCCCTTGAAAATTGAGGGACCCAGACCCACGAGCTGCTGTAAGACATTTTAACCTGTGTTGAACAAGGATGGGGACTGCGCAGGATGTGCATGAAAACACTGAAACACCACCTGAAACTCACCTGAGGCCAAGAGATTTAATCAGAGATTTAATTTGAGGGCCTGGAAAAGTCTCAGTGCTACCATTTTTATGGAATAGTTGAGTTGTGCTTTGAAGCAAAACTTCCTGGAGGATCAACAGTTGTACTTATCCATAATTCCTTCCAAAAAAAAAAAAAAAGAAAATTACTAAAAAAAACCCACAGCAGAAAACCCCACAGATGAAACTCGAAATGTTGAAGTACTCATAATTATTTATCTTAGAAACAAGTACTCATAATTATTTATCTTAGAAAAAAAACCCAACCTTTTCTTTGTAAAACCTATGCTCAGTTCCTTGCTGATATAATCAACAACTATGAGTGACAGTTGTAACAAAATCAGGTTGTTTTCCACTGTACCAACAATCCTTCCCCACCCTGCTCGAAGTGACAGATAAAGCACCTGATTAAGCCATTTTCTCATTTCTAGTTTTATAAACAAGGCTGCTAAGGAGGAACTGCTTCCTTATTAGAGAGCTGATGTTGGATTTATTATGTTACAGCCAATGAAAACAAATAAATGGAGAGGGTAAGTGTAAACAAAGAGTCCTGAATGGAGTGAATTTTCCTTCAGTGAAGCAGCAGATGGGATCATATGGAGATGCAGGAGCAACCATTTTCACTCCATAAAGAAATCTCTGTTTCCTCCATGATCTTTTCAATGAGAAATAAAAAAATAAAAAATATGCACAATAAGGCTTTGGTGCTTGTTTCTTAATTTTAACATTTCTGCAAACATTAACTAAGGAGATAAATTATCACAAGACAAACTTGGTGAGGGTTTAGCTTTTATCACCTGTGCATACCCCAGTGTGAAATTCTGGGCACTTTCCTTTGTAGCAAACTTACCCTGGSACAGGAAAATAAAGCAGAGTTACCAAAATAACTGAAATCTGTGTTTTCTACCCCATTATGTTTCTGCAATCATATTTCAAATAATGTAGGCACTCTGAAGAACTATTTTATTCCTTCAAAGAATTGGTGCAAGTCTTTTCAGGAAAAAAAAAACCAGTGATTTGATGTCTGGTTTTTTTTAATGCAGCTCCCAACCACCACCAGATAATTCTGCCTTCTCCAAGTGCTTCACTCTCACCTACTGAATCCTCAGAGCCCCTAAACCACTTATCCCTGGTGGAAAACTTGGCTTGTGGTGGTGTCATTCTTCCMAACCCTTCAGCTTTCCCTGATTACTGAAGTGACCATTTCCTGCTGTGTCAAATCAGCCCATTAGATACATTGCAAACACGAACAAATAGAAACCTGCCCCAGGAAAGGGAAAATCTGAAAGCAACAGACTCAAGGTGTCGTGTTTAATTTACTGGGAACCAAGCACACAGTGACTGCAGGGATTCATTCATGGTATCAGTCATCACATCTCAAGGTTTCCCAGATTTAACCAGTGTAAGGACACGCACTTAACAAACAAACTTCAGAAGTTTTATAAAATTGAGAATTTTACTCACAACAATCATTTTTTCACTCTTTGCTTTTTACCATGATTATTCCACTGACCTGATGAGGGCCATGAAACATTCACAACTCAATCTCCCAGATTAACTTCCACTAGCAAATCAATTATTCAAAAATGAGGAGGAAATCTGGGCTTTTGCCTGACCATTGCTTAATTGTACTGGACATTCTGCCYGAGACAAAGCTAAATAAACATTTTGTACAGATGTGATATATATGATACCTCASCAAAATATAACTCTGCTTCCATATTCATCTCCATACACAATAAGCCATGTTTGTTATTAGTCAGGGGGTCAGTTTTCAGCACAGAGTGCAATTTTTCATGCCACGAARAAAAAGAGAATGAAATGCAGACATCACGCAGACCAAGTGTCAACATCATTGGTGTCTTTTAATTTCAATTATCAAATGGGCACTGTTTTGTTCAGTTCAGGAAGTCACATTATTTGTGAAGTGAAAAAAAAAATAAAAAGAGAAACAATGAAGAGGAAAATATAATTTTAAAAAATRGTTTGCGTGCTGCCGGAACAGGATGTGTTTCTACACAAATCTGTGCAAAGGTTTCTGCACTGCCACAGAACACTCTGCACTGCCTTGTGTGATTGGCTCAAAAAATCCTGTGTTTTTTTCCTTTCTTAAAGGAAATAATTTCTGGTGCTTTACCTTGAATGAAAATATGCAAGCCTTCTTCTTGATGCAGGCACAATTATGTTCTGGCATTATTTTTTTGCGAATATTTAGATCATGTTCTGGTTGCAGATTTCTCCCAAAGAGCCACTCCTTTTGCCTGCTAAGGGCACTGGCACTGAGCCCTGGTGAAGGAACCTGCTCCTCTCAGGTTCCAGGAGCAAGGATGGTGGGAGGAGATCAGCAGGGCTGAGGTGCCCTGCCCAGGTGATGGTCCAGGGAGGTGGCCCAGGTGCTTTTTTTCTTTTTTTCACTTTGTGAGTGAGGGCAGGGGTGAACCTAGAGTTAATTCACTGTCAGGTGGGCAGTGGACTTTGCAAACAAAAGTACAATGACAGATAATGGGAAACAAAGATCTATTTTAAGAAAAATACTCTCCATATCCAGTGATGAAGGAGCCTCGAAGTTCTCTGGGTCTGTTTGAAAGAGGGAAAGAGCTCAGGGCCTCTCCTCACCTTAATTTACCCTCAAAGCCAATCCATAAACCAAAATTTCTAACAAATCTATGCTCTTTCTCACAACCCAAAAATCCTTACATCCTCATGGGTGCAATCCACTGGAGACAATTCTCTTTGATTTACTTTATAGGAACAGTTCTACTCACCCTAAAGCAAAGATACAGCACAACCTGGGATCACTGCTCTTCTGGGCAGAGAACAGATCCCCTGAGCAGGTCTGCACTGCAGACATCCAGATTTCAGCCTGATAAATCTGGCCACTCAAAATCAAAGCAGCTCCCTCCTGCCACAGATGAACATTTATCAGTGCTGCTCTGCTATCAGAGAGTGGGAGGTTATCTCCCATCTGACATGCTTTAAAGTAGAGCTTTGAAATAAATGCTTCAGGTTTACTGCAGTGGAAAAAAGGAATTTTTTGGTTCCAAGAATCTTCCAACATTTGTCATCTCTACAGTATTTTCTGTCCAAATGCACCCTTCACATTTTATTTTATAGATGCTCTGTGAAGTAGGTGGTAAAATCAAACCATATTTGTTTCATGAAACAAAGTGTGGACTACAGAATACAGGAATTTCAAGAGGGAAGATTTTACATGGGGATCTCTGGCTGTTTGGGGACTTCCCAGGAAGCTCAAACTGAGGTAACTTAAAGGCATTATTGACTCTGCCTGTAGCTGACAGCACAAACACATCCCTAAATACACACTGGGGTGACAGGGTTTGCCAGAGGCCACATAACATCCCTGCAGCAGAGTCAGTAACAAGCAGGGATCTGATGCTGATGATGTCTCAGACCCTGAATCTCTTTGGGAGATCTGGATCTCACAGAGTGTGCAGAAGTTTGTCCATCTGACCTAAACCGAACAAATTTTATTACACTGAAATAAATAAAATTAAAATAACTGGAACCATAAAATGCTTTACTGCATATAATGGCTTTTAATTGAAAGCAAGCAGGTTTAGATTTGGTATTAGAATTAAATTCCTCCCTGTGAGGGTGGGAGGCCCTGGCACAGGGTGCCCAGAGAAGCTGTGGCTGCCCCTGGATCCCTGGCAGTGTCCAAGATCAGACTGGATGGGGCTTGGAGCACCCCGGCACAGTGGAAGGTGTCCCTGCCCATGGCAGGGGATTGGAATGAGATGATCTTTAAGGTCCCTTCCCACCTAAACCATTCTGTAATTCTGTGACAGACAGCTTGATGGGAATGGAAGCAAAGGGGGAGGCAGATCGTCACCCAAAGCCCGTCTAAACCTTTCTGGTACTCCACTAGAATTTGTATTCAGCTTGGTTTTCAAATCTAACTCCAGTGCTAATTCCCTAAGATCTCCATTTGCACAGGCAGTTTGGTCTCCACCCTGTACCCAGAACACTGAACTTTTGCTGGAAATGATTTTGCACTGGTTTATCAGAACCCAGAGGAGTTTCCATACTGACAGGAAGAAGATGCTACAACAAACATCAGAAAACAAAAGTCCTTTATTGAACTCTCATGAAACATTCACTCTCAAGAGAGAGGAATAACTCTAGAAACACCATTGATCTGGCTTTTTTTTCCAAGGCATTTTTTCCAACCTTCCGTAGAGTAACCCGTTCCAATTTTGGTAAAGTTTTGCTAAAACAGAATTAATCAGAATACAAACTGTGGCTTCAGTACCTCAGGACCCATCCCCACAGTACCTCATTCCAGCACATGCACTTTATTCAGCCATGGATACTGGTTTGATCTATCACAGATAGGCACGGTTTGAATTTCAACACCAACAACTCTTCTCTTTTCTTGTATTTACGAAGAAGCAAACCGCAGATCTGACCTGTCACTCGGGTGTAAATAAATCCTGGTGTAGAAATAACAGTAGAAATGTAAAGATACTGATACAGCTGCCTCTTATCAGCAAGAAAAATGAGCCATATCAGCACGAGGCACTGCTACACACCGACTGCACCCAGCACTAGGAATTACTAATGGGAGTATTTTGGTAACACACAACCACGACCCCCACTGCAAATTTAGAACACAACGAGAGCTCGGTACAGGTCAGGCTTTCCCTGAAAGCCCAGATGGTCACCAACCTATTTAGTGCAAAATTAGGCTTGCTAATACCAGGTAACGAGGTGATTATATATTCCTTGGATGATGTTTCCTAGTGGTACTGGAGCTTTGTCAAGGAAGAACAAGGAAGGACAGAGAAGGCTGCGAAGTGAGAGGAACCTGGGTTCAGCATCTCCCATCAGATGCTTCCAAACAATCACAGGATATGGAGTGGATCAAGAAAGAGACCTCAAGGGGACGTTGATGACTTCACTGCTCCATCTGTGACCTTGATTTGGTGGTGGGAACCCGGCCTGCCCTCGGGAGCTTCATGCTAAAGGCAGTGACAAGGAATTGACGTCAGGGGTGTTTATATTATACGCAAAATACCCGAAGCACGAGGCGACAGAGGTGAAACTCTGCCAGCCTGGAAGCCATGTCATTCTCCCTCATCTCAAACTGTCCTGTTTCCTGCACTGGTGGGAATAGGACTGTGCTGATTCAGTCATTTCCTGCTGGCCTCCCCAAAGAAAGTGCGGGTCGGATCGGTCACAAGATGGGCTCCGTGCCGTTCCAGTCGATGACAGCTCCTTGCCACCTGGAAAAGAGAGCATTTGGCACCCACCAGTCCATCACTGGAAAGGCAAACACACACCCCTGAACCCCTCTGAGAGATTGGGAAGGACTTGTTTGGGGTAACTGTTCACATCTCGGGGGGAATGCAGCAGAAGGGGAGTTGTACCCGCTCATTTCAGGTGCCCGAGGTTGGGGATCTCTGTCCTCACCCTCCCTCCAGCCTCTCCTGGGCCATAGGGAATCCTCAGCAGCATTTGATTCCCCACTGAGCCCTTTGTGCTGCACAGGCTAATTAGGGAATGCCCAAGATGGGTGCAGGAGTTGACCCTAAATAACCAGAACACTCAGTCTCAGCTGTCAGAAGACGATTTGCACTCTCTTGTTCAGCTCTGATCAGGAACTCTCCGATGCCACAGTGATTTTTCCTTTTCCTTTTATACGTTTGTAACCTTCCCAGGACTTTTCCCTCCCCTTTTCCTCAGCTAGAAGACCAAACCCATTCCAGAGCTCCAGGCCCTGAGGAGCACAAGGTCCCATCCTATCCTGGTTCTTCCTGGGAACCAAGACTGAGAACAAGGGCTCTGAGACACATTTTCATAACCAAGGACAGTTGGGACCAAGGGTGGGGGGCTCCAGAGAAGGGGCTCGACCTGGGGGGAATTGCAGCACCACTTGTCCTCCTAATTGGTGTTTTTCATTAATTATGCAAATTTCCTAAAACCTATCAAACTCTATTCACCCCTGTGAGGGGCCTTTTGTGGATATTCTTCCATGGCTGCCCCTGGAGCTTCAATACAGACTCATTTTTATATCTCCCCCTGTACTAAAATCACCTCGAGTTTCATTCCTCGGTTGAAAAACGCAACACTCTGACTCTGAGATCCTGTGCCTGGATCATTCACTGAGCACCCATCTTTGCTCCTGACCCTGGCTCCTCCAATCATCCCACAGCTCATTTTAATGGTGATATTTTGCTTTTCCTGTGCTGAGGTTTTGCGTTTCTCTGCCCTTACTCCCCCTTCAGAATGGCACTGAAGGTGGACACTGAGAACACGGTTTCCAGTGTTCCTGGAACCTTCCACGTTTGTAATTCCTGGCCCTGCATTGTCTGCCACAGCCCAACTTCCCACTTCAGGGATGTGACTGAATGTAAAGGAGGCATCAAACCTGAATTTGGCACAAAATGTATCAYTAGATCGTGGCAGATGACAAAGATCTGCCCCAAGGCTTGGTGAGAGCAGGATAATGCTCTCCACACCTCCCTGCCCTGTGCAGTCAGAGCCCCCACAGCAGGAATTCACCCTTGCCTGTGCCTTTTCTCCTCTGCAAGGTCATGGTCCACTTTTCTGGGAA